CACTTCAGAATGGTCCATGCGCTTACGACCTCCCTCCCTCGCGGTCGAATACGCCCCCCCCCTGTTGCGATCATCACAACGATGACGTGCCCTGGTTCCATCGCTCCATCAGATGGCTCACCTATCTATCCTTTATAATCGCACAGAGCTAGAAGTTCTCCTTCCTTGTTTGAAAAGCTTCTAAATCTAGCGAAATTAGGAAAGTGCGAAGAAATGACTGCGAACCAGTGGAAATTTTTGTTCCAGCTTAGGAAGGAGGAGCTCCGGGAAGGGTGAGCAAGTCGCGCAAAGGAATCAGTTCAGACACCCGAATTTGCACTTCATCCTCACAGTGGTTTCTCCGCACAATTCAACACGGAAGGCGATGCTCGTAGGACTTCATTGCTTGCAGTAAGGTGTTAGGAAAACCTTGCCCAAAATCGGTCGCGGTATTTTTAGAGCATTTGATGAATAAAATTAGCCAGCATATTATACCAGCGTCGATGTTCATTTCTCAGAAGGGATTTCATTCTAGAGCTTCTGAGAGAATGGAAGAAAATATCACAGGAACTCGTTAATTTGGGAACGAATGATGATGTTGAAAAGCTAAGGAATCAGTTGAAAAATCTCTCCAATGTGAACCATCACATGAAAACCACCCAAGATTTGATAAGGAACAAAGTTGACAAACAAGTACCAAGAGATGTGAGCCTTACTTGTTGTTCAGTTGAAATCATTTATTTTGCGAGTTTCCAATCACTTCACGGTTCAGCTGAACGACTTATCCGCAAAAACTGACAACATCACGTCACAGTTGATCGCTCGCCTTAACAAAGAAGAAGAAGAGAGGTATGTAAGAAGTAGTACGTTTACATTTGCGCTTCTATTCTCTACTCATCTAATGTATACCATTTTCACTTCGAATTCAACTTCTTTTCAAATGGAATTCGTTCAAGCCGAAACCACCACTTAACAAATCAAATTGACCACTTTTTTGAGACCGGGCAATTAATCAAGCCAGATCGCGCTAGACACCGCAAGCTCCGCCCCGAAAGCCACCCTTACTCGTCAGGGCGGGCTTGAATTTCCATTGCTCCGCGCACTTTTTAAGAAGTTTGCTTTAAACTATAATTTTCATAAATTTTTCAACTTTGTTAATTTCACATCCACTTTTAAGGAACGGGTATAGAAGCGCATTTACGCATCGACACATTGAGCTCCGCCCTTAATCACGCTTACTTTTGCTTCTTTTTCCAAATTTCAATCCCTTTCGAAATTTTCACATTTTTTGGGCTGCTCCGGGTTGCCCCGCCTACCATGAGAATCTCTGCCCACCTTGTGGAGGCCCCGTCTCCTTTGGAAAAAAAATGCAGATCGGAAGGCCACAGTCTCATTTGGCATGTTAGGGTCTCGCTCGTACTCTGTAACAACTTTGCCTGGTTTTTTGTTCCTAGTGGCGAGAGAGACTCTAACGTGCAAGTTGAGACTGGGGACTGCCGTTCTGCATAATTTTTCAAAGGAGGCGAGAATCATGGAAGGAGCTTCTCATGGTGGGCGGGGCAACCCGGAGCAATCCAAAAACGCGAATGTTTGAAAAGTCATTCGCATTTTGCAAAAAGACGCAAAAAGGGGCGTACTTCAGGGGTGGGGCTTAGATTGCCGGTGCATGTGCGAAGCAGCAAAAGTCACTGGTTATGAAATAAAATTTGAAAATTCATAAGCACACTGTCAAGTAGGTCTGGCCTTCGGGGCGGAGCTTACGGTGGTGTCTAGCGCAATCTAGCTGTTTGATTGCCTGTGTCTACAAAAAGGTGAATTCGATTTGAAAAAAGGTGGTTTCGCTTGGAAAAAGGGTGATTTTGGTTTAAAAAGTAGTGAATTCAAGGTCGAAATGGCATACATGTGCATACATTCCTCCAGCTCGCTCGTGTGCTTTTGAGAACTTCTCGGTTGCCCAACCGGTCTGTATCCAAAAGAGTCCCATATTATGGACCGCATTTACCATTGTGTCTATTCCATTCTTGCCACTCGCATAGCTGCAATCGGTACCTTGTGAAAGAGACGAAGGGCAAACACAAATTGACAGGATAAACAGGGCACAGCAGACAGGCACAGCAGACAGGACAAACATCTGGCGCTCAATTCTATTAGGTTGTTCGAAAAGTCCTGCGACACTTTGATTGAATTGTTCTAGAAAAAGACCAAAAATCATTTTGGATGTTTTTATCCCTGATTAGTGGAGACTGTCCTCTGGGGTTTCTGCACATGGGTATATCATGACTTTGTGGAAGTTTTCAAAGCTTAAAAGTCCCTCAGAGATCGAGGTACTTTTCGACCTATCCCTTGAGGCGCAGCCGAAGGTAACCACCGTTGGCAACCTCTCTAGGCTCCACCTGACTGACAACTGCCATGCTTCTCCGCAATCTCGGTTATCGGAAAAATTTTTTGTGAAGGATGCCTCATGAGTTGGACCCGTCTGACAAGTCATACCGAATGACCGTGACTGAGTTTTCTTTTCCTTGTACACAGCGAAAGAACTTTTGTGAGATCTTGTGGTTGGTAGCGAGTGTTGGAGTCCTTGCGTACATCATGCACATGTCCCTCGCAGGATCTCTCAAACAGAAAAGGGCCCAAAAAGAAGAAATTAACTTACGGCCAAAATCAGGATGTGCATCGGAAAACAGGCTGAGTTCAGTCCGTTTAGGTTCAAGTTTGGTGACTGAACAAGAAGCAGTATCATGAATACGCTAACCACCCGTTCCCATAGAAGACCACAGTCCCACGCGTTATTCACCTTCAAAACTATGGACACGCTTGAATTCATCTCAGCGAAATCCAGCTCAAGTTTTTCTCCAACTACTCGGCAATGCTGAAGACGCTTTTGTGGCGGATCAGGCTGCGCTTAAAGAGATCATGATTTCGATCATGCGAGAATGCGACCGTACCCAGGTTATTATCGACAGTAGCTGCTTCTAATTACCTCCTTTGCTTCCTATCCGCTATCGCATCCTTACCCACCCATACCCAGTAGATAAATGTCCGGTTGAACCAGGTCCCGAACCTCACTCGAAAGACTGCCAGCACCCGTGCACCAAACTCCTTTCTCAATCAACTTGTAGTGGTCCCGTACTCTATCGAGTTGGGCAAAAGAAGCGCGTGCCAGGCAAAAAGGAGAAGGCGACTACCGGCCTAGTCATCAGCCACTGCGCGTTTACTTTGTAGGATTTGGATTATGCTTGTAAGATGGACCTGCGAAAATTCGTTTGTACGATTGCGGATGAAGTAGTGGAAATACTTGCAGCATCAGACGGAAACACAGGGTAAGGCGCAGTCGTCTACCCAATTGCCAAGCGCCCGGAACACCACCCACGACCCGGCCTAGATGCAGAAAGACCGCATTACAGCACCCACAAACGTCTTCGGCCGTTCTTATTAATACCCATCCCTCCCCGTCTGAAGATATCGATCTAGCGTTCCCAGCGTCACCAGCGTCACGCTAGCGTTTCTCCAGCGTTTCACCAGCGTTTTGCTAGCGTTTGCAGCGGCAGGGGAGTAGAGACTATGGGAGAGCTGGGAGGGCGATACACCAATCTCACATCCGGCATTGCGGTCTCTCACTCATCCTCAGTCTCTACTGCCCAATACACCGTACGCGCGATTCTGGTATGCTTACGGCCACATAGTCTCTACTCCCCTGCCGCTGCAAACGCTAGCAAAACGCTGGTGAAACGCTGGAGAAACGCTGGCGTAACGCTAGCGTACGCTACGCTGGTGACGCTGGGAACGCTAGATCGATATGCATCCTCTCCCCGGCACTGCCGCTGGCGTACGCTGGAAGCGCTACGCTACGCTGCCGCAAAGTATAAACGCAGCCTTCCATCGCGCGTCTCGACGGGCACACAGTCTCTACAATACACTTCGATTGCGCGTCTCTGCAGGCCCACATAGTCTCTACAATACAATCGATTGTGCGTCTCTGCAGGCCACATAGTCTCTACTCCCCGGCCGCTGCAAACGCTAGCAAAACGCTGGTGAAAAAGCTGTTGGAACAGGATTTTTTTCCATTGTCGGGCCGGAATTGGGTTGAACTATTTTTCAAAACGCTACTTTTGCGAGGTACCATCTTCTTTTTTAAGGCTGATCTGTTGGAGATTGATCTATTTTTTGGGAACTTTTAGTAATTCGTATGAACGGTTTCTGGTCGAATATACGGCTGACAAATACATGCTCATTCTTATAAAAGATCCTAGATGGTCCACGCTTATCGTAATGATGATGGAAATGATCGGTTCATGCTTTGCATTTATGCGTTATGCAATTCAACCATTGCATTATGCAATTTAACCAATTCAGTGTACGGTATTAGTACTGCGGTGCGGCTACACACGCCGCAATTTCACAGCACGCGCAATCGAACGCTACGCTAGCGCTAGCTAGAGTATTCTAGCGTTACGCCAGTGTACGCTGGTGACGCATCCTTATTTATCCTTACCTTGCCACTGCCGCCGCGAAGTATAAACGCAGCCTATCCGAAGTTTGCAGGGCAAGGTCAAGAAGCTGCTGGATCCTTCAGGTTGCAGTATCTGTCGACTCTCCTACATTAGCTTGTGGCAACCATGTCATATTAACTTGGTCGATTGTTTTCAAAATCCAGCAGGCATACAAGTCACTGCTGAGGGATGAGACCGCGAGCGTTGGGAACGGCCTCCGTCTATGGAGGTCGGAAATGAAGATTGCCACTGGCGTCAGCTTTGGAGGCGAATTCATTGGTGCCACGAAGCTGACTCTCCACGGGGGGGGACGTTAAGAAAACAAAAAAAATCCCAATACTTCAGAACCATCTCAGATGATTAGGAATGAAAAAAATGTCCAGAAACCCCCATCGAATCGTACATGAATTCCAGATTTCTTGCGATTGAGGAACTTCAAGAAGCAATTCAAAAACTTCGATCTGATATTGGATCTCCGAGAAATGGTTTTGCAGCACCTACGAATGTAAGTGGGACACCGTTTCCATGCCATTTCTCAGATATGTTGTAAGAAACCATTTGGGTCGCACTTGGTACCGCACTCTTTGATACTACTTGTATTGAAGCCACAAAAGAGTCTTGAGTGGGCTGAAAAGGCATTCCAAAGTGAAGTCCAGTGCGTAAACGTGCGCAGCCAAAACTTCAGAGTTCCAGCCTTGATGATTGCACATGCTCAGTGATAGCCTTTCCACCAGCTGTTTCCAACTCTTCCATAATTCCAGTTAATGTCGGCCAATCAGTACTGGACGAAATCACCGACTTGGGGGTTTAACCTACACGTTCATCCAATATGACTTCAAATGCTCGGCAACCGAAGTGAAGTGAGATATGAGTTTTTGGAGTTTCCGAGAATTTCATCTTTCACATGGGCGCAGTGATGAAGTCCTGACACAGAATGGTTTTCTTCACCTCACCGGGTGTAGCGATGTAGTTGGCATGACGCATGGCGAGGCAAAGTAGTGAACCCTGGTCCTCCACCTGGTACGTGAAAAAACTGCTCGCTTTTGCGGGCAAACGGCAATGCTGAACGCGGACACTTGAATGCAGCTGACAGGCTTTCGTGACGGGATTGCCCACGAATACTCGTGCGACATCAAACATGTTTATTGTATCAGATTTATTTCAAGTCAATGCCACTGCATACGTGAACTGACGCGCACCCGCGACGCTCGGTGAGTGTGGAATGTATGAGGCTTTCCAATGCAAGGGTGGCATCGGGGGGCAACCAAGAGAGTCTGAACATCTTGCAACATTTGGAAGGTTCGCGTTGCAACTCTGAACCTTTACACGTCGACGGGGCGCTCACACGAGCTGGCAGAAGCACTGGAGCATGAACAATATGGACCTCTCTTACGTTGACGCGCAGCTGCCATGTTCTCTCTGCAATGCCATGCAGTCTAGAGACATTGCTCGCGATTCTGTAGCAATTTTACGTGGAACCCAAAAACCGTCAGCAGTGTTGTTATAGAATCTTGAGGTCATAATGCCTTCTTCGTATTACCAGCGCATGGCTGTGCGGCGTGCTCCTCGACTTCGTTTTTTCTCGGAAAAGGGGGTATTCCTTAGGGAGTCCCTCAGCGAAGCCGAGAGAAAAAGACGTCGAGAAGAACGTCTTCATTATCAAAAGTCCAGTCATCAAGCACTTGGTGTTCACACTTCAGATGCTTTTTCACATTCCAACCTCGCATCACAGGGAAACTGATTTCCTTTCCTCGGCATGTTGTTGAACTTCATCATGATAATGGTTGTTCATATTCATATTTGTCCTTTGTTGAACTTTTCAGTATTCTATTCGAACATTAGATCTTTTCCAAAGAATTGTTCATTTGACCTTGTCATCCGTGATAGGTTCGATCTCTATCTATTCACTGAGACCTGGTTAAAAAAGCCCATTCTGTCCCATCCATGCTCAGCGATTGGATTAGTGATTACTCTATTGTACGTTGTGATAGGGCGCGCAGAACTGGTGGAGGGGGTGCTATGATGATCAGAAAATGTTGTAGAGACTATGTGCCATCGATCGCGCGTCTCGACGGGCACACAGTCTCTACAATACACATCGATTGCGCGTCTCTGCGGCCACATAGTCTCTACAATACACATCGATTGCGCGTCTCTGACGGCCACATAGTCTCTACTCCCCTGCCGCTGCAAACGCTAGCAAAACGCTGGTGAAACGCTGGTGACGCTGGTGACGCTAGATCGATATGCATCCTCCTCGGCACTGCCGCTGGCGTACGCTGGAAGCGCTACGCTACGCTGCCGCAAAGTATAAACGCAGCCTTATGTCGGCTATTTGTTAGACATGGAGGACGCTCATGTTACCCACTCGCTGCAGGATAACTGCTGAGAAAAGTCTATTTTCTATATTTGTAGCGCTTCAAATTTACACAATGAGTGCAGAGCTCAAAGCTGTCGCTCCCGCTTTTGAAGGAACCGTCCGCGATCAGGTATGGAAGTTGAAAATATGGCACCGGCCCGCTTTTCAGCGAAAAATGAACCTGCAGGACTAAAGAAGCATGAAATTGTCACTTGAACGGTTGTAGAGTTCCTATCGGGGAATCAGCTGTGCGGATGAGGGCCCAGTGATGGAGATGGAGTTAATTGGGCTCGTGCGAACTGTGATCGAAATGGGTTTCTATCTAAAGCATTTGGCAGCTTTTTCTGCTTCTTTCTTCAGTATCGAATTACACAGAACCTTGTCGTCTACATACAAACCCATAATTCACCATCCCTGATGGCGAATGGTCGCGGGCTTTGCCTTCAAGAGCGAACTGTACTCAGGATATAATTATTTGAGAATGGCCCACGGACCATACGAAAATGCAAAACTTTAGTGTGAATTTCAAACAGGCACATATTCGACGCGAGCTTGACGAATGCAAGGTGGCCATAAAGAAACTGGCGGAATCTGTTACAACAGTGAAGAACGTGCTTGACAAAAAAATTACGGATGAGAGCCGAAAGGTATGGTTCACAGTTCATGCTTTTTTTCATGATTACATGAAATCCAACTGTACCGGTCCGATTCAAGTAGCTGTACACAACAGTCACTGAATTTTTTGTCCTTGTTGCCACTATGAGGGCCAACCAAACCCCCATCTCTGATCGACCCACACTTCTTTCCTTCGGGCACTTTCTCGCGTCAAATCGACCACCCAGCTCGCAGATCACTCTTGATCCCCTACAAGGCCTTGCGCTTCCACGGCCCTCGTTCACCTGCGCGTGATGCTTCCGACTCCTTCCTTAAGACAATTCCCGCGATCAAGTGTTCGGGTAATTGGTGCCCAGTAACGAAGCAGTGGCCCATTTGTAACCCCCCAGTGGAAAAAAATGGAAAAAAAACCTCGCGAACACCCTGAACACAGACCTCCCTTTAGCAGTGGGGGCGGGGCCTGGACGAGTGTGCCGGACGTGGCTGCCAGAAATCGATGCGGCAGCCGCAATTGCGTCCCGACTTTCGAAATAGGATACTTTAAAGGACGGAAGCAGCTCGGGACCGGACGCCTCGTCCACCTACCGTGTCAGCGAGCCTAGCGAGCCTTGTGGAAATCGCTATAACTTCCTTATCGCGCCATATTGAGGGATGAAAGTGGTATCATCTTCGTCAAGGCGTAGAGGGTTCCAAAAAGCACGAAGTCATTTTGAGGACCACTTGATCGCGGAGAGTGTCTTTAACAAACGTTCCATTTAAACTTTGAGAAAAACGAGAGGAGTAACTGATCAGTTATCAGCGTGATAAGTGCATGCATTTCATGAACAGCATGTTGAAATCGTGGAAGGTTTTTTCGCTCA